TGATTTGATTTGATTTGATTTGATAAAATACAATGACATTTGGCTTTAAATTCGGAAGTTTAAAACAGAAGTTAAAGTTTCCCTCTTTATGCAAACTTAAGATCACGGAGTAAACACCAAGTCTCAGGAAAAAAGAGACGAGTATTTTTGAACTAAATCTAGAAAAAAACAACAACAAGGTTATTGATAATGTATTTAAATATTTGAATATAATGCATAACCCCTCCGTGAATCTGTTGAGGGGTTTGTGTGTCCCCGGAATGCCAGGGGCTATGTTGTCGGAGGGCTTTTGTGCTCTGGTAGGGTCTTCCATGGCAAACTGGTCCTGGATGAAGGACCAGGCAAAGAGCGATTCAAAAGACACCTATTCACAGAAACCTAGGGAACAGTCCATCATCCCGGGGCCCCAGTATAGATATACTGGGCCCCGCCCTGGAACCAATCCTGGGGAGGGTGAATGAAGGCAAGTGCCTGGTGGTGTCTGGCCTTTGCCCATGGGGGCCGGCAGGGCACAGCCCGAAGAAGGGCCATAGGGGTCGCATGCAATGTGTGCTGGGTGGTGGCCAAGGGTGGAGACCTTGGTGGACTGATCCCTGGCTACCAAAACTAGCGAATGGGACATAGAATGTCACCTCTGTGGTGCACAAGAAACCTAACACAGTGTGTGAGTCCATCCATTAGCCGAACCTTGGATCCAGCAGGAACAATGCGGTTTTTGGCTTGGTCGTAGAACACTGGACCAGCTCTTTACCCTAGCAAGGATACCTGAGGGTGCATGGGAGTTTATTCAACCCGTCTACATGTGTTTTGTGGATTTGGAGAAGGCATTTGACCGTGTCCCTCTAAGTATTCTGTGGGTGGTGCTTTGGAAGTGTGGGGTGTGTGGCCTGTTGCTATGAGCTATTCGAGTGTGGTTTGCAGACAAGTGTGAAGCAGTGGGAATGAGAATCAGTACCTCCAAGTCTATTTGTTTCTCAGGCATCTTGTTCATGAGTGAGGGGAGAAGGGTACAGAGGACTGGCAGACAGACTGGTGCTGCGGCTGCAGTGATGTGGACACTGTACCAGTTCATCGTGATGAAGAGAGACCTGAGCGTAAAAGCGAAGCACTCAATTTACTGGTCGTTCTACCTCCCTACCCTCACATATGGTCATGAGCTTTGGGTAGTGACCGAAGAATGGGACTGCGGATACAAGAAACGGAAATGTGCTTTCTCTAAGGGTTGCTGGCTTCTCTCTAAGATAGCGTTCAGCCATCTGGGAAAGGGCCCAGAGTAGAGGCAGTTGAGGGGACATGGGCATGGCATGGGAGGTGTTCCAGGCATATCCCAGGAAACACTGGAGAGATCATAGCTCTCAGCTGGCCTGGGAGTGCCTTGGTGTTCCCCCAGGGAGCTGGAGGAGGTGGCTAGGGAGAGGGAGGTCTGGGCTTCTTTGCTTAGGCTCCAGATAAGTGGAAAAAATGGATGGATGAATGGATGAATGTAATGTATGAAGTTGTTACATTTGTGAAAATATTACTTTTTGAGAACAAACAAATACTATAAATACCTTGGAGTACACATTGACAATAAACTGGACTGGGCTAAAAACACCACAGCCCCCGCGACCCGGCCCCGGACAAAGCGGATGAAGATGGATGGATGGATGATGAAAACAATGTGAATGTGAACATAATAAATCCGGCTATGAATATAGCCTTTGGTCAATACCTTGTTGAAGCACCTTTGGCAGTAATTACTCCCTTAAGTATTTATGAGTATGTCACTACAAGCTTGGCACACCTATTTTAGGCAGTGAATACTGGGTGCACTCTCAGCAATGGCACTAAAATTAGTTGTGTTTCAGGGCTTGATGGCCTACTGACCACCACAGTGAAGGTCACAGTACAGGTCCTTTTTTCCCCAGAAGGTTCTTCCTCATACACACATGCATTGACATTATGACTATGGAGGATGAATTCATGGAACAGAGCCCTGTGAATGTTGGAAAAGGCAACATGCATGTTGGAACCTTTAAATGAAAAATGGTGAAAATTGTTGGGTTAGATCCTGCACATTGTACATGTAATACATGCGGTGCTCTGAACGGATAATTGGAGGTGAGCTTCCCTCCCTCCAAGACATCTACAGGAAGCGGTGCCTGAGGAAAGCGGGGAGGATCATCAAGGA